AGAATTTTTAAGAATTTAATTTTAAATAATGGCCAAATATTATAAAAGTTAAGGCTTTCCTAGTTTTTGCATAGGAAAACTCATTTTAAAATAACATTTTTCACAGCAAAATCTGTACATTTTCTGAAACTTAAGACTCATTTGCCTTTTACTATGCTTTCCTCTGGCAAGTGGCTTGACTTTAGCACCACATCTTTGTCACCCATCTGAGGAAAGCCACTGTGAAAAAGGCGAACCAATCCGAAGCTGAGATCTCAAGGAATTTAAAAGCAATAAGAATGCCATAAACAAATTAGGATTGATTTGGCTCAGAAGATGGGTAGCTGACTTGCTGGCTGGCTGGGCAATCAAAGGCTTAGGCACGGTCACTAATAACTTCTTGGAACGTGCCCGGCACTCGAAAGTTGTAATCCCAAAGGACGGACATGTCGCCGAGTACCGCGCTCCAAATCTCCGGACCTCTATTGACAGACAATCAACATCAACCACTTGAGCGACGGCAAACAGAAGGGAAAAATCAAAGTCGAAACGCTAGATATCACAGATTTTCATTATGAAGCATTTAAGCCAGCCCAAAATCCAAAAAGCCCAACCCACCACCCAATGGTCGTCCCGGGGGTTGACTTTTCCACTTCTTTTTCCCCGACCACAGCTTCAGTTACAGTTTCGGTTTTCCTTTTCTGTTTAGGTTTTTGGGTTTTTGGTTCTGGTAAATTAAATTAGATGCTTAATATGCGGCGAACGTTTCATTTGTTTTGCGGCTAGAAAATCAACGTGGAAAATTAGGCAAACAAAGGCATCTCTCTCTCTTGGCCGAACGAAATCCGGACGGAATCCACATGGCCGAAGGCGACGGAAAGCAAAGCCAACGGATCTGGTAGCCGGGAGCTTAACCTCTAATGAGGCGCATTACTTTCGGCCAGAGATTTGAAATCATTATCCCATCGAAACTAATCCCGGACCTCCATGGTCTCTGGCATTTCGGAATTTCGGCATTTGTTAATTTTGTGCAAACATCGAAGGCCGAGGCCCAAAGCTCCATCCCCTCATTCATCCTGAATCCCTCTCCTGGATGGGCAAATATTGAAGCAAACGGACACGGAGGACACTGATTGTTCCGAAATGATTACGGGCCGTGTATTGTTCACATTTGGTTTGGGTTTTTGGTAGGGAACAGGTTGGGATATGATTTCCTAAGGCAACAAAAAGAGAGCAGGGAACTGATAGGAGTTCGATTTTGAAATTTCACTGAACGAATCTCTTTACAAAAATTGTTAAATAATAAACAATAGCCTAATGAGAAAACCTGTCGAGTATTAATGACAAGATTTAAAGATTGTCTATGATTTGTTTTTTTGTATCCCTCTATATAGAACTTAGCTATGCTATTTGCAACTCATTTAAAAGAAATTTAAAAGTAATCATAATCATTAAAGAAAAACAAATATTCTACTTACCATGGGAAGTTCCATTCTTCTTAGCCAATCGAACATCTTTTTGGGCTTTATCTGTGGGTAACTTCGAAGTTTAATCCCTGCCAAGCACATGGAGCTAAAAAAAAAGAATAAAAAATGTTTTAAAAACTTGAATAGCTTTGTAAAATAACTCCACATGCTACCAAAACTTAATAAGTGAGGTTATCACAAATATTCGCCTATTTTCAGCTGACTCCTCTTTCATCCGCAAAATAATCCCCTCCTGTGCTTTTCTCTTAACTTAACCCAGATCAGTTTTATAAATCTTATACAATCTCCAATTATCTTCAGCAAGAATTTAAGTGTTTTGCCTTTGCAAGCAATGCAATGTAAACAATAGGACACTGACCAATTCCCAGAATTCCATGTCCACCTCTAACTCAATTATGCGTTATGTTAACTTAAACTTTGGTATTGGCAACTCTCAAAAGCTGTGACTTCTACTGTTAACTATTTTTTGTTAAATATTTATTATTATTTTATTTTAAAAGCAATTTCCAATGCTACAATATTCCAAGGAGTTTTTATTTATCAGTTAAGTTGCTTTGATTTATAATCAAGTTACGAAAAATATTCAAATTTTTTGCATTTCTAATAAACATTTCATTTTGAAGGTAAAACCAGATTTTAGTTTTTATTTCTTAGAGTTTAGTTTCCATATAAAGTTTAAATTTTGTCTAAAGTTTTCATAGCAAAAATCATAAGGCATAAAGTCACTGTTTAATGTCTGGTATTTCGATTATAAGCTTTCAGGTAATCGATATATGATATGGCAGCCCTGAAGCGGTACTGTCCGTTAAAATACTAAATTCTACCAAAAAATTCCCTAAATCTCAGCTCTATTTCCGAGAATTCTTTCTTTTGCCGGTCAGACGTCAGGCACTTAAGTTCTCCTGAAAAGCTGACTAAAAATTGGAAGTTCTTAATAAAAAAGTAAGTAAGAAGTAAGTTAAAAAGAAGTAAGTTAACACAAAAAAGTGTAAGGAAATTAAAAAAGGATGTGCAACTGCGGTGAAAACTAAGAGTGGATAAAAACAAAACTAATATTTTTAAATTTTTACATTTTTGAATTCTGAGAAAAAGAAGTTTCTAGAAATAGAAGAAAAAAGCATTTCATGTTTCGGGAAATCTTCTTTCTTCATCTATTTCGAATTACAACAAAGCAACCTGCGAATGCGCAGAAATTACCAAAGAATCCAAAGGAAAATTCCTTAAAATCAGTCTGCGTTTCGGGAAAGTTTAAGTTTTCCTAGCGTTCAACCAAACACTTGCTAGGGTGCATTTTTAGAAGTTAGTTTTAGTTTGGAAAAAAAAGTTATGAAAATAAATGGAAATATAAATTTTGGTATTTCTCCAAGTTTTCCTAACCTATTTCGAAGAATATTCTCGAATTTTGAAGTAAAAACGTAGATTTTCCTGGAGAAAGCTTAAAAATTGCTTACGAAAACTGCAATACGGCAAAGTTTGCGTGCGTGCGCAGGCGCAACAACCACCAGAGTAGCAAGCATGAAATTCTGGAAAAGTAGTTCGCATTTCGGAAAAATTTAAGTTTTTCTAACCTATTTCTTACTCTTAAACATTTTGGATTCCATTTAAAGAAGTTTCTAGACTTGAAAGAGGCAGTAATATAGGGAAGTTGCAAAGTTTTCCTAACCTAACCTAACCTAAAACACCGGTAAAGCAGGTCCGCATATAGGGAAAATTTGAGTTTTCCTTTTTTTTTTGCAAAGCACGTGCTCTTAAATATTTCAGATTCCTTCATAAGAAGTTTCCAGAGTATAAAAAAGAAGCAATATAGGAGAGTTGCACAGTTTTCCTAACCTAAAAACTGGTAAAGCATGTCGCGTTTAGGGAAAATTGGAATTTTCCTAACCTATTTTATCAAAACGAAACGAAAAACTTCTCGGAGTAAAGGAAATCAATGGAGGGTGGGTACTGGTTTCCCTAACTTTTTTTGAACAAATACTTTCTATCCAAATTCGAAATATTAATTCATTGTAAGGAAAACAGATTTGATCACAAGTAGAAATAATAAATTGTAGAAAAGCTGTCCGCGTTTCGGAAAAATTGGAATTTACCTATTTCAACAAAGCCAGAAAGGAGAAGTTACTAGAAGTAAAGAACATCAATGAAGGAGAAAGGTTTTTCTAACCTCTTTCGACCAATATTTTATATCCAAATTCGCAATTTTAATTACTTTCTAGAAAAAACGTAAAATTGTAACTAAACTCGCGCTCGTGCGCATGGGCACGCGTTTGTTCCTGGTAATAATTTCGATTGATAATATTTGCCGAAATATTTCGTCCAGCATTATCTTTCCATATGAACATACATATAGCCAAAGTCTAATGTCCTCTTGCTTCCAGTTTCCAGACCACAAATTGAAATTGACCCTAGACACGCGGTCGGAGAATTGCGACGACGATGGCGACCGGGGACTGGAACTGGAAATCGAAATCAAAATCTGATTCGGAATCAGAATCTGAGTCCAAGACCACGTCGGTTTGGGGATATGGGATGCCATGGAGACGGGACATTTGTATGCAAATTCAGTGATTGCTCTCCGCAGAAACCACAGGCAAGACAGTAGGAGCGACCACACAATAAATGGGCATAAATTACACGACCCGAAGGAGGAGCCACCAGACAGTGAGTAGTTCTTCGGTATTGGAGGGACAAAGTGAGGGGGGAGGGAGTCTCAAAATTGATCATTGCTGGGATGTGGATGTGGCTATGGCTATGGCTATGGATGATGAAGAGCTGGCTAGCTGGATGGCTGGCGCCATTGGAGTGCGGCGTTGCCACTTGAATTTTTGATTTAACAAATGCTCATTTGTAAAACGGCCCGGCGAGCTTAGCAGCTCCTCATCCTCATCCTCGCAAAATTCAAATGGGCCACAGCCAGAGCAACAGCCAAGAAGGCAGGCCAACAAATCCAACAAATGGTCCGAAGCGAGGTCCCTCAAGTCTCTCAGATCAGAGCCAAACTTTTGCCCAACTGCCTGGCAACAATAATAATGTCACGTTTATCGTGTGCAGCTAATTACTAACAAAAAGATAGTTTGTAATCCTACACAACTGGGGGAATGGCGAATGGAGGCCGGAGAACGGAGAACTTGGCCAGAAGAGTTAGCCAAGCGTGGCCAAAAGTGCCTCCAGGACAAGTCAGAGGGGTGGGGTGGAGGGGGGGTGCTTTGAAACAACAACAGACACCGACCACCGGTAGCCTGTATTTTGTATTCTGTATTTTTGGGGAAGCAAACTTTGTGCTAGCAAAGCAAAGCAAAGCATAAGCCAAGCAGCAGCAGCAGCAGCCAGTCGTCGAAACTTGGCCAAAACATGTGCTGCAATCTTGGTACCAGAGTTTTCTGGGCATTAGCACACGCCTGCCTGACTGCCAGCCTGAATGTCTTGGCCAAAAACCAAAAGCCAAAAATCAAGCGAAAAACCAACACACCCCGAGCAACACGAACAGCTGCTAAACTTTTTGGCAGCTCACGGGTGGGGATCAACATCTTATAAAGCTTTTGTAAACAGTAAATGTATTTGTATAAATATAGTACAATATGATTTATAATATGGTGTAAGTTCTACACAATCTCACACCATCATATACAAAGTCAATCGTCTGGGTTAGTAGAAAAAAAAAACGTCAATCAAAACTTTTTGCAAAACTGCTCAAAAACATTTCATATTTATCGCTTATCTATGTAAATTTTCATTAATTTTGTTTTCCAACTATAGAGTTTGCCTTGTCTAAAGTAGAAGCAAAGCCAGCTTTGAGCAAATATTTTAACATTTTTTTTTCTTTTGTGCTGTTTTCTTTTTAACAATGTGCATACAATCCTTAATTATTCCAATATCACGGAAGATTCTTAGATATACACGGACATATAACCGCATTTATACACTATTTTTAATGTTTAATTGACACTTAACGTCTGATGATAGACGAACAAAACGGAAACTCAAGAGAGAACAAGATATAGATATAGAGCTTGGCTTTCTTGGGCTTTTTTACAAATAGTTTCGATGTTTACTTTGGTAACCAAATCATTTTACAAAACATTTTCTTCAATTTAAATAAAACCCAAACCACAGTAACCACGAATGCCCTTGTTAATCATATCAAATCTACTGACTGAGCATGCAAATAGCTGCCTTACTCGTAACAAACTTCCACCAAATCTACGGTTTCAGCATAAAATATACTTTTCCTGATTTGTTATGTTCATCATCAACACGAAATCGAGACTAAGTTTCTTAAGTTTTAAGGTCAAATGATTATTTCAAATGTTTCTTTTTGGGCTACAGGAAAAGTATATTTTATAGCAATTACTATTGAATTTTGGCAACCATTTACCTGGCTCATATTCCTCGATTCCTTAACGTACTAAACCGAATAATATCGCGCTTTGCTTTTGAGACTCTCGAGTTGAACTAGAAATGAACGAAGGGCCTCTTGCTTGGCCTGGCCAGATGGCGGATAATATATATTATTGGTCAGGAGCCCAGCTCCGCGACACTTCCTAAAGTCCGTGCCCGTCCGTTGGCGTTCCGGTGCCTTTGACCGTGGTGAAACCGCCGAACGATAACAGATCCGTCTCGTCCGGCTTGTCGCGCGTGGCGTGATAGGCTTCGCGTTCCCGATCCGGGAACTTGGTGGGTAGATTAGGTGAATGCAGATTGACCTTGGCCTCGAACCGCACGCCGGCCACCTCTACTTCATAGTGGCCGGACAATACGTATTCATTGGTCACCGCCAGCTCTCGTCCCTCGTCGTCGAAGTTGCGCACGAATCCGAGGCATACTTGCTTCTCGAACGTGTAACCATAGCCAGTGGTGGTGGTCATACCCACGTAAACTCCATCGCGGTAGATGGGTTCGCCGCCCCAGCACCACATATCCACCTCGTGGTCGTGGTCGTTCAGCAACAGCTGCACATACATTCGCTTAACGCCCTCCTCGCGCTGTTTGAGCAGTGCATTACGACCAATGAAGTCGATGGGTTTCTGTAAAGACATTATTCAACATTGCTTTTTGATCTTGCTAGATTGTTCATTCTATAACCCACATTCAACTTGACGCGCCAACTGCGTCCGCACTCCAGCGGCGTGGTAAAGGTGTCCAGATCCTGGCCCCAAAAGGCATAAAACTTTTCAATGCGCAGGGCTCGGGTGGCGTAGTAACCTAAAATGGTCAAAAGATACGATTGAAGAAAGAAAAAGAGTATTTCTGGTTTTTGCAACTCACCTGCATGCTGTATGTTGAACCTTTGGCCTGCCTGGTAAAGTCGAGAATACACATGCAGAGCATATTCGTTGGGGATATAGAGGACATAACCCAACTCACCCGTGTGGGTTATATTCAGCACTCTGATACCGTCGGCCAAGCCCACATCCAGTTCCTGGAAAAGATTTTGTCATTAGTATTAAGATATTAATAAAATAAAACTTCTTTTAGGAATAATACCCACCTTGTACGTAAAGAAGGGAAAGCTTTTGGGCGTGAGATCAGTGTCAGAAAGCTCTGAGAGCAGAATTCTCGAATAGGGTCCCAGGATGCAGATAGCTGTGTACATAGAGGTCACATCCGCAACATTCACCTTGGCCCTGAGGTGATCGGGCATATGTTTTCGTATCCAGCACATTGAACGGGTCTGCTGGATGGTGGGTGCAATCATCATGTAGCTGAAAGAATGTCAACTCATTAATCAAAGGAACAGAATGTTTAAGCAACTACTTACTGCCTCTCAGAGAGCCGAGCCAAGGAGCAATCGTTCTCGTAGCCACCATTGGGATTCTGCATGCCGGTGTGAATTATGGAGCCAACAGCCACGTCCACATCATTGGAGCAAAGGTATTGCAGCAGCTCAACTACCTCGTTGCCCTTTGACCAGAAGTCATACTTGGTAAAGGAGCTGTAGTCTGCGATGCCAATGCGTTCCCTGCATGCTCGATATTCGGAGGCCACGTGATCGAACCACGGCGGCTTGCCAAAGGTTCTGGTTTGCGCAATCCGGAAACGCGGCAACCCAAATTCATCTGTAATAGAGTATCAATACGAAGTAGGATTAGTAACCAACTTTAAGCGTTGTAATACAAATTCATTTATTTTTTCTATGATTTTGACAGTTAATTTGAGGTTTTGTTTTCAAATTATAAAGCTGAAAATTGACTTGTCGAAATCTTTAAAAAACAATTCATCATTTAGTGGACTACTGATTCCCTTTTCAAAAACTATACGAGACCTTTCAGTTTCGTTAACTAAACAATTCAAACTGGATAACTGAGTGTGTTAAATAATTCAATTATTCAGTTTGAATTTGGAAGTCGATGTAAACAAATCGAAGTACTAGTTGAATATTTTATAAGTGTCAGTGATTTGGTGTTAAAGAATATAATGTAGTGAGTTTGATAGGATAGTCTATGTTTTTGTTTGTTTTAAAATTACATACTTAGACTTTCGCTATCAAGTTTCCTACACATTGGAATACAATTTGCCATCCTGCTTAAACAAACCGTTTAGATGAGTATTAACACATTACCATCTTACATTTTGTGACTAACAAGTGCATTTTCAAACTCAAGTAACATTGATTTAATAAACCAAACCGTATTAGTTTAGTTTAAAGCCTTATACGGTTCGGCGCATTAAGTCAAAGTTTCTGCATATACATTAATTTTGTGGCGAGAATTTTAAAGCGCTACAATAATCTAATAGTTTAATGGACAAAACTGTGTCTTTGAATTCAGGTTGTCCTTCAAATTATTACATTATTTTAACGTATTTCTGAATGCTTTTGTCGCGTGTTCAAATCTGCAAGCTATAAACGGTTGTTTCAGTGGTTTAATAATCTAAATTTCAACAACTCTTTCATTATACCGTTGCTGAGGCTGGGATTATTAGACTTTTGTTAACAAAAAATCTTCACCAAAAGATTCCACAGTGCTTTATAATTTCCATTCCAAGCTATATCTACTTAAAACTCACCTTGTTTGTCCTGCTGATCGAAGTAATTGGGTCGTTCATAGCCCATCGACTGCCCAAAAACGGCGCCTGCCTCCTTGAGCTGCGGATAGATGGGTGACATGCGCAGATTCCGGCCGGTCTGGAACTCCTCAAATGGGTAATTGATCTCGAAGTGCTTGCCCGGTGCCTCCTTGCAGCGATCCCGCAGAAACTTTCGATTGTTATGTAACCCTAGAAATCGAGTGATATCTAGGATGTGCAGATCCAGAAAGGTAGAGCCCTTGGTTATCAAATCGGTAAGGACGCGTCCAATACCACCGGAAGCCGATACACCCATTGTCTTATTGCCTGCCGCCACATAGTAATTTTGTATTTCTGGGGCTTCGCCTAGGATCCATTTGCAATCTGGAGAGAAGACCTGCAAGGAGTTCGTGAGCCTATCCAACGTGGCGTCTCTAAAGGAAGGAACTCTTAGCAATAAAGCGTCCAGCAGCTCATGGAAGTGATCCCAGTCCGGCGGATGTTGGCGGGCTGTCTGCGACAGTGGTATTACACCATCCTCGTAGACCATCTTGGCCTCACGTTCGAAACCGCCGGCGAGAATGTGACCTTCACACTCTCGGAAGAAGATGCGTCCATCGAAGTCTCTGACGAAGGGCGTGTCCGGACTAAGTCCCTCAATGGGTTTCGTGTGCAGATAGTGATGTTCTACCGCCTTCAGTGGCACTTTCACCACCGGTTTGGACAAAGTACCCACCTCACGAGCCCAGAAGCCCGTGCAATTGACAAAGTAATCGCATTCCACATCGCCAGCTGTTGTCTCTACACTCCTCACCTTGCCGTGCTCGCTGTGGATCTTCTTAATGGCACAGTGCTCCACGATGCGGACTCCCAATCGCTGCGCCTCAGACATGTAGGCCTGGCAAACGAGTTGCGGGTCACAGACTCCGTCTTCGGGTATCCATAGGCCACCTTCAATTCCATCCAACGAGAGGAGTTCACAATGTTGGGCACATTGCTCTGGAGAAAGTATTTCGCAGCGCATGCCCCACGCCAAAGCCTGGGATTTCATGCGATTGAAAGCGGTCATACGATCCCAGCTGCGGGCGAGATTCAGACTACCAACTGGCCGCCATCCTGTGGGCAAACCACTCTCCGCCAATCGTTTGATCAGATCAATGGAGTACTCGGCCAGCTTGAGTTCCGTATAGCTGGGTTCAAAGCGCCCAGCCAATCCACAGGCCGTCCACGGTAGCTCGCCACTCACACGATCCTGTTCCACCAACAGTGTTTCACCGCCCCAGCCACTCAGTCCTAGGTGGTAGGCCACCGAGGCTCCAGTAATACCGCCGCCACATATAACCACTCGGGCTTTGGTTGGCAGTTGACCAGCCAACTCTTCACTAAGATCAGCTGCCTGTTGCGGTTGAAATTTCCTTTTCCGCAGTACCTGATCATCCGCCGGATCCACCTGGCCACTTACCAAACGCACTGCATCCGGACGGCCAGGTGAACACCGCCTGGGAAGCTTAGTAACTGCATTTCCCGAACGCTGCAGCACTTTCCACATCTTGTCCACCGGCCAAATCCACCATAAGCCACCGCAAACGTATACGTATGTATTTATATGTATCACAACCTCATGGAATTAACCTGATCCTCTGCAGGTCAACCGAATAGCTGAATAGTATATATAAATACTATATAGCGATTAGTAAATTGGTTCTTCGGCACAATAACAAAAAGTAAAGTGAATTAGGGATGAACAACTTTGTCGATTTTCAATCTTAGAGGTGGTTTACCATTAGCGAAAGTTATCGAACATCTAGCGGAGGCACAAACCAACATGCCGCCAAATTTGAATTGCATAAACTTGACTGGAAAATCAAAAGTTATTATATTATATATAATATCAAAATATAACTATTATATTTGCTAATTACAATCCATTCTTTTCAGAAAGTTGTTCATTTAACATTTAAAGAATAATTTAAAAAAAAGTGATGGTTTTATAGTGTTTTTTGGCCCACTGTTGAATTGTTTTTTTTTTAAGCAAAACATTTAGTAGTTGTCCAAAGATCAATATTCAATAATATCTGTTGTGGCAAGAATTCTTATAAATGACCTCAAAAACAAAGGAGTTACACTTAGCCAAACCATAAAAATGCCTAAAATAAATACTTTGACTATGGGAAACTAATTATAAAAAAAACGTAAAATATTTTTAGTAACAAAAAGATATCAAAACTAAAAAATGAATTATAATTGTTCGAAATCGTGATACGCTCAAAAACGCGATTTCTTTTAAACATCGATTTTAGGTAAAAAATATAAAAAGTGTGTGAAAAACAAAAATGGGAAGAAAATATTATTTTCCGCATTTAAATAATATTAATATATATAATATAAATTCACTGCAAATTATCAATGGAGTATCAGTAATGTAAAGAATGTTGTTAAAACCAAAACAATAAATAGTAAACCGATCGTGTTAGGGGAAATGCAGGAGGAAGATTGTATTTAATATATCTTAATCTCGTATTTTCCATGGCACGATGGTATTTAACTCTGCAGTCGAAGATCTAATCAGAATTGAGTGACATCTGTGCCAAAATGTATACGCTTAAAAGAGTGAAACAAAAATATTAATTCACGTTCTGCACAGCGAATTATCAATAGAGAGTTTTAATCATCTATTGGCAATACAATGTGACGAATGTGTTAATAATAACGGCAATAAATGAAGAATTAAAGTCATAAATCAATCGTGATTTGGGAGGTGCTAGCGAAAGATTGTATTTAATATATCTTCACCTGGTGCTTCCCAAAGCATGATGGTATTTTAGCTCTGCAGTGGAATGTTATAATAAAATAAAAAGTTCAAAGAATTCCCAATGCAAAGAATTTAAACGCGCGAAGTTATGCGATTACTATAGGACTACTAAGTAAAAAAGTGATAATAGATGGAAAACCAAAATGCAACCAAATTATTAATTTACGCACTTTACAGCGAATTATCAATAGGGTGTTTTTATCTTCTATTGGTAGTACAATGTAAAGAAGGTATTAATATTTTCGGCAATAAAAATGAATAAGTAAAGTCATAAATCGATCGTGATTTGGGAATTGCAAGCTACAAGATTGTATTTAATATATCTTTATCTTGGACTTTCCAAAGCACGATGGTATTTTAGCTCTGCAGTGGAATATGAAAATAAAATCTAAAATTCGAACAATTCCGAATGCATAGAATTTAAACATGCTAGATACTAAGATTACTATAGGACTTTGGATAACATCTGTGCTAAATTATATACTAAGTGAAAAAAGTGATGGAAAACTAAAATGCGAAGAAAATATGAAGAATGAAGAATGTGTTAATAATTTCGGGAACAAGTGAAATCATGAGGTTAGAATAAATCCATCGTGATTTGGGAGATGCAAGCGAAAGATAGATAGCACTTAATATATCTTTATCTTGGACTTCCCAAAGCATGATTGGTATTTAACTCTGCAGTCGAACATCTAATCAAAGTTGGGGTGACATAAGTGAAAAACAAAATTATTAATTTACGTAGAGAGTAGAGTTTCACTCATCTATTGACAATACATTGTGAAAAATGTTAATGTTAATAATTTCTGCAATAAATGAAGAATTGAAATCACGAGTGAATAATAAATCGATCGTGATTTGGGAGATGCAAGCGGAAGATTGTATTATTGTACTTCCCAAGGCACGATGGTTTATTAACTCTGCAGCCGAATATCAAAATGAAATTATAAAATTTAAACACAGAAGAGCTTTTCATTTGAAGATTTATTTCCAATAACCACCAAAACACCCAGTAACTTCTTAGTTCTTATATCATTTTGTTTTTGTTTTTGGTTTTCTTTTCTTTTTTTTTTTTTTTACAATTTTCTGATGCAACCCAAAGAATTTTCGTATTGAGTTGTATTTCTTTTTTTTTTTAAGTTTATGCTTATGCTTCTCTGCTCGTCGTTTCTTACAAAATCAACAAACACATTCAGACCGAAATCATAGAGCAATCGATAATTCAAATCCAAATCTAAATCCAAATCCAATCTAATCATATATGTATGTATATATTGGATATATAATGCATAGTGTGTGAGGCTGTTCTAACATTTATGTTTTGTTTTTTATTTTTGTTTTTCATTTGGTATCGTTTCTGGCGAAAGTTCGCTATATCTTAACACTTTGTAGGATTTTTAGGATCCATTTACAGCTAAACTAATTCATTTTTTACAGGGGCCGAATTCTCAGATTCAAATATATATATATAGAGCACATCTTTCGGGGACTCGGAGTTTGTGTGATATGAGGCTGAAACATATATACCATAAATTAATTGCCCTTTTAGTGGGAGCACAACGCACTGTTGCCGGCCACAAATAATGGCCAGCAAAAACAATGTTAAAAGTTAGGGGAAAAACCATAAAAGAGGAAAAATAAGATTAAAGGCAAATCAATGGAAAATCAATCTCTAGAGTCGCTTTGGAATTGAATTTATTGCAATCGGCGAATAATCATAATAAGGATAATAATGGTAATAATAATAGTTTAATATATAGTTTATAGTATATAATCATAAGTTCATACGCAGCATTTATTAATATAAGTTAATTTCATCGATCATCATCTCATCGCGCGCGACTTCTTTTAAACTATTGATATAACATTATGTTCTCTCGTAATCATATTTATACAGAAGTCAAGTCGCTTTTGTTCATCTAACAAAAACATAATCAATAAATACGTAGATAGTAGATACAATTACGAGTTAACTTTCTCTCTCTTTCTCTGGCTATCGCTATTCATAATCATAATCTGGGGTTTTGCTCTCACAGAATTTTATAAACTAGATCAATGTGGCCCCAAGTGTGTGGGTTACTACATCATCATCATCATCATCCTCGTCGTCGTCGTCCTGCATATCCTGTAACAGTTTCTTTCTAGCGCTACAACTTATAAAGATTAAAAAAAAAAACAGACACAAAAAACAGACAAACAATAAAAAAAAAAACAAAAAAAATTGACACATTTTTTTCTTTCTCTAAGTTTAGACAATCATCCAAGCAATTGGCGGGGTAAAACATTTATCTAAATTGACCTCTCGTGTAATGCTGTATTCTGAAGTGTTCTAAAATTAAATAACACTGCACTTTAAGAGCCCTCTATTGGCTACAAAAAGTACCCTAATTCGATGGGGGTTTCGAAAAAGCTAAAAACAGGTTTTAAAAAGCAACAAATGCTAGAGGACCTCTCTAAAAGGAAATACACCTAAAATCTCCAGTTCTTGAAGTTTGTACCCGCGCCAATATTATATCTGGGTGTGCCGGAATTAAGGGCTTTCTTTTTTTTGACTAAGAGGCTAGGCCTCTATCTAATGTATACATTATACATGCGAGTAAATAAATTAGTTGTGATTTCTATTTAGACGATGATGGTTCATCATTTTCTTCCTCATTTTCTTTTCATTTTTTTTTTTTTGGTTAACATTGGGATTGGCACATTATATTACATATCATACAAAGCTTCGCATTCGTTTGTTTTTCTTCTTCATTTTAACATCAACTCGTGCCCTTAGAAAAAAAAAAAAAAACAATACAATAAAATACAAAACAGTGTTGGTTAAGGCGAAAGTATTTGGGGTTTAAAAATAGTTGGGATTTGGTTTTCTTCGCTTTCGTGTAATAAAATGTAACCGGCTTATCACATTCATAAAACTTGATCAATTCTCTAAATACATAGTCGTTAGGCATAGGTTAAATATAGTACATCGTTTAGTACAGTTACCTTGTATGAGTTAACTAAATGTTTTCGTTTTGTTAATAGCACAGTGTAAACGCTTTTTTTCTCCATCTTCTTCGATCTTTAGGGCACATATTCAAGTTTAAATTCAATTCAAAATACAAAGTTAAATTAAGTTTGATGGAGGTTTTTCTCTTTTACTTTTCTTTTTTCCTTCTTCTTAATTTCATTTAATTTTCTAGATTTTTGGTTTTTCATTGTTTTAATTTTTTTTTTTTAAATTTTCTTTTCTTGGTATTTTTTTTTTTTTTTGGTATTTTTGCAACAACTACAATACATGCAAACAGCAATTTTTTGAGTGCAACATAAACGGTCTTGACAATTCGAACAGAAACTATCTTAAGTTCTTGCTTGCTTCTCTTACACTTTGGTATAATATTCACTAGATCTATTTATGTTTGTGTTTCTTATTTCTTTCGGTGTATATATGTATGTATATATATTTATTTTTTTTTGGCTACTTTTTCTGGTAATAAAAATTGCAAAATCTCCATCTCATTTTGGTTTGTTTTTGTTTTTAAATTGGAAATTAGCTTTTGGAACTTATACAGAGCGGATTGAAAAATTCACATTCAAGTTCAAGTTTTCGTATTTTCAGCCCAAAAATAACTATTATTATTTGTTGTGTGTGTGTTTGTGTGTGTAAATATAACTGCCGGTAGGGGTGTTTCATTGTTTGAATTACACATTTAATACTTAGTTTTTATAACATTTATCATTTATAAACTATTTGCTTTTCGTTTATGACTCTGTGTATGCGGTTTTGGGTTTCTTTCTCTTTTTGAATATTCTTCGAGCAGTTAAGGGTTTTCCCTTGGGTAAGGCAAAATAAATGCTTTTAAAAATAAAAAACATTCTCAATCTTCTATCCTATATATCCCGAGATATATATATATAGATCTGTCTGTGTGGTTAATTGTGGGCTCCTTGGATTGCTTAACTTGGTTAATGGTTTACTGGCTTACTGGTTAGTTAATTGGCTAAGCTATTAGGTGGAGAATCGGAAACTCATGTAAGTCGTTCACTTGAAACGTACGATTATTTGGGGGGTGGGAGTGGAGGTTGGACAGAGGGATGTTCTTGGAGTGGTGTTATGTATACATTTATGATTGTGTGTACAGTGCCTTTCACCGCCTTATGGCCCTGAAACACACTGTATTTTATATATATATATATATATATATATATATATGGTCTAAACTTATCGGTGTACCGTTGTTATTGTGTTGTTAGCACAAAATACCTTTCAAGATTTTTGGTGTTCATATTTTTTTTTTTTTCTTAGGTTTTTTTTCTTTCTTGGTTTTTCAAAATAAATTACAATGGATTCGAGAGGGGAAAGTCCCCGTAAAATACACACCTTAATGTGTGGCTTTTCTTCTAGTTTTCTTCTTCATCAGAATTCTTAAATAAATATAAAGCACAAAGTGTTGACTTTCCAGTTTTTTGAATTCTAGTTGATAAGTTAATATAGGCTTGGCTTATGCTTCATGCATAAAACATATTATAAATATTTCCGTTTTAAGTAAAGTTAATACCTTCAAGATGTTTGGGCGATGGTGTGTGTGTGTGTGTTTTGGAGTGATGAGTGTGTAAATACAGTTTATAAAGAAGTATATATGTTAGCATCTTCATCTTGATCAGCATTTCTTTTTTAATGTTTTCTCCTAGTTTTTAGTTTTAGTTTTAGTTAAACTTTTTTTAATTTGGTATCGCGGTGCTCTTCCTCTTTCGACCTTTGACCTGGGAGTCTTAGGCATAAAACTCCGTCTTTCCTTGCGTCTTATAGGCCTCCTCCTCGATTTTGTACATGTCCATAAGCTGGTTTTTTGTTTGTTTGTTTTTTTTTTTTTTTGTTTTTTAGATTTTTGAAGCGGCAGTTGGAATTTTGGAGATGACAGACGGCAGCGTGTGAAACAGCAAATACAAAACATTTCGCAAAAGTAAACAAATTGTGTGATTTTTTTGTTGTTGTTTTTGTTTTTGTGGTTTAAATGGCACAGAAAGAGACAGAGCATGGGTATGTGTAGGTGTGGTGGAAAAAGATAGGAATAGAGAGAGAGAGAGAGAGAGAAAGAAAGAGCAAGAGAAAATATAGAATTTCGTATTAGTTTTTCTTGGTTATTAATTTTTTTTTTTTGGCATTTATGTTCTAGGGCGACACAGCAAACGATAAATGACAAGGCGTTAGGGGGGCGGTGGCAGGTTGGGTTATTATAGACAGAGACAGGTTTAGAGAGTGAAACAGAGAGGGAGAGAGAGAGAGAGATATATATATATATGTATATCCATAAAGTAGTTCGATAGTAGAGCTGCGAGCTTGGGTAGTAGGGAGTAATCGGGATACAAGCCAAGATTTTAGAATATAACATATTATATTTCTATATATCTATATAGATTGAAAAGTGGACAGTTTGAGGGAGAGGCTTAAAGAATAAACTGAGTTCGACACAAAGCACACAAAAAGTCTGTAAGTAAGCACATAAAAGCATTTGTAGGAAAGGAACATGTTAAGCCAACTGTGGATTCAAATGAAAATCAATGTGGAAACTATTCCAAATGGAATGTATTTCTCCATAAATAAGATTCAAAAAATGCTTGTGGCTATAGGAAATCATATAAACAAGGAACTATCCCAAAGAGATTGCCATGTAATGGGATCTTATAGTGATGTTTATAAAAGTAACTGAAGAAATTTCTCTTCTAAAATCATGAAAACTACATTTTAATGAGTTAAAATCCATTTCGTTGATAAATTGCACATTTTTTTTTACACAACCTCTTAACAAAATTATAAACTATTTAAAAGCCAAAGGAAATAGTTCAACTTAAAGACATTCCAAATTAAAATTCATAAAGAAAAGCGCAAAGCAAAACGAAGGAGCCACTTCAAACCAAAATGCGTTCCTCTAGGAGATCGCCAAAAACAGTGCTCGAAAACGATGGAAACTATTGGGGAAACCAGGACAAATGTAGAGCACGCACACGATGGTTTAAACAAAAATGAACATGTACCGATAAATATATATATATATAATACATATATAGGAAATAGTAGATAATTACATCTTAGCAGTTAGTGTGAAAGATTAGCAGCTACTGACTGATCGATTACTTTTTTCAGGTTAGTACGGATGGGTTCGGTTAGGTTGGGTTTTTGTTCGTGATCGGTTATTGTTTATCGTTTATCGGAAGATGCATCCCCAGGCGATACTCTCTCTCTCTCTCACACATATTCTCTCTCTTTTTTTTGATGAACAAGAAGGGTTTACAGCAACTACGATCGTATCTGGGATGCACATCCTCACTTTGGTTTAAGTTTGGTTTTTTTTTTTTGACGTATCATTTTACGTTTCAGTTATCGGTTGTATTAGTTATATCGTTTATCGTTTACGGTTTATCGCTCTCTAGCTATACAGGTGTGGTTGTCTAAAGTACAGTCTCAATACTGGTTATAGTGTCGGTCTGCGGCCGAGTTTCGTTCAGTACCTTTTGCACATCAGTACTGAATTCCTCGACCTGCTTCGAATGCGCCAGTTTCAGTTTCTCCATTGCGCGGCCCTGCTTAACGCCGATTTGCTGTGAACGAAAAAGAGATATATATTTATTACATTCTTTTTTTTGGATAATAAAAAATACAGAGCCAACCTTCTTCTCCTCCATGAAACGCTTAACATTGTTCTGACGCTTCTCGCGCAGACGACGATCCTTCTCGTTCTTGGTCTTCAGCGTTTTGTCGTTTTGGACCTCCTTGGCCGTGTCGGCCGACATCTTTGCCTGCTTGGCATTCAGATCCTTGATGTCTCTGCATTGGAAAAGAAAATAAATTTGATTAGAAAATGTGAAGTTAGATTAGTATCTCACCTGGCATGTCGATCCTCCAGCTGCTTGATCTGCGCCGCCTGTACGGTCAACATTAGCGCCTTCATGGCATCCTGCGAGTCCTGGACATGTTGTCGCAGCATATCCCACTCCTCCTTGCGATGGCGGGCGATCATATCGGTCCACTGTTTGGTCTGGTCATTGATCGAATTCTTGATGTTAGCATCGTTGCGAATGTCATCTTTGCTCTTGCCCTTGATCAACTTGTCGATGGCCGCATTCTGGGTCTTTTGCACCGACGTGCGCTCCTTGGCATGCTTTTTACGGAGCGTATCGAGTTCCTTGATCTGCTTCTTGCCCACCTTCTGGAAGCCCTTCTCCTGGCGCAACGACTCCAGCGTGACAGGCTCAAAGACAAGTGGTGGCTCTTTTTCTCCCTCCTCCTTCGCCTTGCCAGCATCACGAGCGGCACCGCCGCTCTGCTCTTCGATGCCCAGTGCCTTCATTTGCTCATTTTGCTGCTTGGCGGCTCCGGCAAATCCTCGCGGATCCGACAACATGGCCATGAAATCCTCAAAGCCATCAGGTACATAGATCTTTAGCTCGATATTCACAAACAACATGGGCAACGACATTGGGAAGTTGGCCTCCGTGCGCAGGGATACGTGACGATAGCCAGCCTGCAGGCCATCCAGCGGCAAAATTCGCTGTCCCAGGATCTTTCCGCTCTCCTCATAAACGCCGAATCTCAGCACAGCCAAGTCGGGCAGCACCACTTTGCGGAACACAAAGGGATCCTCATTGTAAACCGGATTTAGACCATTGTTGGCCACCAAACGGGTACGGAACTCTTTCTTCACCGTGTCCGATGGCAATCCAAACATGTCCACCTCCACATAGGTGCCAACTTTCTTATCGGACAAGAATTGACCGGCTATAACCTTAACGGAACACTGAGCCGCAATCACACCATCCACCGGCGCATCGGCAAATGGATCGAAATCCTTGTCGGCACGACGCATAAAATCGGGTTTCAGTAAATAACCACAGCCACCGTTATACTCGAACTTGCCCTGGTTAAGTTGCATGGGCAGATCAGAGCTCTGGAAGTTAAGGGAGACCATCTGACAGCCGGCATTCCAGAATACCTGCGGCATGTAGTTCGAGGAGTCCGCCCTGGTGCCCTTGGGATAGATTCGCGACATCTGACGCTTGTTGTAATTGACAAAGTCGATGGAGCTCTGCTTCAAATAGTTCATGCCCGCCGATTCCGCAAACGAGGACATGTTATGGGCAATGTTCTTTTCTATGGTTGTAGTAAAAAAAAAAAAATAAAATTTGTTAATAAAAAAATCGAAAAATATGTCAAAGTCACTTACCAATTGCCTTGTCGAAGCCCTGGAACTTGATGGGCTGCGCGTAATTGACCATGGATGAGAGCCACGGATGCACATTGGTGGTGGAGCCACTATAGTTGGCGGCAGCTGCCTCAGCTTCCGCTCCACCACCGCCTTCGGCGGCACCTTCAGCGGCGGCAGCTGCTTCCGGGGCAGGAGCTGGTGCGGCAGCAGCCTCTGGCGGTTTGCCTGCACTGGCATCCTCCTCCGGATCATCATCTGTCTTCAGCTCGCCTTTCAGCCATAATTCCAGTTCGACCTTTTCCACTTCCGGTTTCATTCGCTTATTCTTAATGAGAATCTTTCGCTTTAGCTTGCAGGGCGGCGGCAGCGGTAGTCCCGGATCCAGCTATAAGTATATGAAAATGGGAATCAAAGATTGGATTGGAAATTAAGAAACGGTAATAATAACTTACCGGGTGATCTGAAAGCGGCTCCTTTAGCAACAGATCGCCAAAGAAGTCATCACAGTATTTGGCCAACTTGTATTGCTGGGCACGGTTGCAGTGGTTCTCGAAGGACAGGATGACTGGGTACTCTGACGACACGAAGGCGCAGTCCGCAATCGCCTGGATGCAGTCCTGCAAAATGTATTTAAATTGAATTTTATTAGAATTTTCCAGCAATTTTACAACACAGCATAGTTTGGAATTTTACAACAAAGAATAGTTTGGAATGAATCTGAAAAACAAATTCATGACCGGAAAAGCCATAACTGGTGAAAAGTTTAAACTTATTAATATGGTTTTCCAACCTTTTTGCAAAACTAAAACTAAAAATGATTCTCGGAGCTAAAATTAAAACAAATTTTTATGTAATTTGTTCGCCACCCCAAAAAGTTTCTGAACAAAGCAACCTTATTCCCTGACGGACTAGAAACATTAGATGGGAAAAGCTGATTCGCTTTGGCAATTAAGATTGCTGACAGTGAAAAGTATGGCATTTTAATTACTAATTATTTTAACAATTATTAGTACAGGGTGGCCCATGTAGCGTTTGCTTTTTGTCATTTTCAATGTGTCAAATATTTAGTAGAAGGTTTGCAGTTTACAAAATGGTTAAGTTTACCCTCGAAGAAAACAGGGAAATATTGATATTTTTTAGCGATCTTACGTGGGCCACCCTATATTAAGACTGCAGCAAACTTCTTTTAGTTCATAAACTAGTTGCTTAAACTAGTTAAATAAATGTCAGATTCTGCATTTTAATCTACTTCTACGACTCACCTTAAACAGAATTTCCGTGCAGTAGGCATGGCCGTGGGTAACGATCGGTTCCTCGTCTTCCCCTTTACCATTCCAGCAATCCAACTCCACACACCGACAACCGGCCAACAGTGTCTGGCGGTACATCTCAACGGAGCTCTTGCCACCGATTTGACGACCCGATAGATAGGTATTATGCGAGCTGTTTATATAGTAATGGGCCAGCGGCTGATCCATCTCCATGTAGAAGTCCAGTCGGTCCAGGAACACCGGTGCATTCTCGTCGGACATCAGATAGCGTTTGAATCCATCCAGCGACATTTGCACTTAACGTGGGCAAACCAACAATTTAATTAGTAAAACTTTTTTGAGAGACTAATCAGGCTCAAGCCTCATCATTTTTTTGCATAAAATGGAAAAAAATGTGCATTTTTAGGTGTGAATGCAGTTTTCTTGAAATTTTAATTACGAGTTCAACGAGATATCACTTCCAATATTCGGACCATTAGTTCTTAAGTTATGAGTGAAATTCGAAACATTTTACTGATCAAAAATAAGATTAGGAATTTTGCCAAAAATACGATATTTTCTTTATGTTTTTTTCTCATAACTTTACCAAAAATTGTCCTACAAGAAAATAACTTACTGAATTAAGCAGCTAACGACCTCACCTTTCCAACCATGCCACTGCTTGGCTGATTTTCGGAAAGTAATTTTTGAGCTGATTTTCACTTTTTTTGTAAGGGGTAACATCATCGTTTTTTGAGAAAAATGGCTAAAATTTCACATTTTAAACTGTGAATGCAGTTTTATTGGAATTTTAATGACGAGTTCATCGATGTATGACATTCCATACTCGGACTATGTTTGACTTTGTTGTGGGAAGAATTCTGAATGTTTTGGGGCAAAAATCAGGATTACGAGTTCTGACAGAAGAAACGATCTTTTCTAACGGGTTTATGTCCATAACTTAGCCAAAACAAGAGGCACAGCTAAGATGAAGACTGTTTTGTAAAGCTAACGACCAGAACTAACTTTCCTCATCATTCGTTAGAAGATTTTGGGAATTTCAATTTTTGGAAAAATTTTGAATTTTTGGTAAGGGGTCCCCTCATCAAAATTTGCAAAAAACTTCAACATTTGTACTTTTCAAGGTGTGAATCCAGTTTTGTTGGAAATCAAATTCCGAGCTTAGCGAGGTATGGCATTCCATATTCGGACCATTATTGGCTGAGTAATGGGAAAAATACTACCTATTTTTGGGGGGAAATCTGCATAAACCAAATTTTGCATTTTCGATAAGGGGTAACATCATAATTTTTTGTAAAAAACTGCAAAAATTTTACATTTTTAGGTGTGAATGCAGTTTTCTTGGAAATTTAATTACGAGCACGTCGAGAAATGACAATCCACTTTTGGACTATTCATTTATCGCAAAAAAATGATTATCTGAGCTTCTGCACAAAAATATGATACATTCATGGTGGCTATTTGTTACTCCTTATTGAAGTTTCATAATATTGCTAGACAACCCCCTTTACTCTATATTTATCTCAAAGAACTATTACCATTTTTCTTCTTTTCCTCTTCCAGCTCATAGTCATTGATGATCTCCGTGCAGCGTTTTTCTTCATAGAGAGGATACAGGATCTCGTTCATCCGGGGATCGCGCTGTTTGTCGTTCATAAACTGAATAAATTGCTCCAAACTTATGAAGTCCTGCTTGCCCTTGGTACTAAAAATTGAATACAAAAATGTTTTCTAACTCAACTTCTTAGAAAAAAATCTTAATTTTGTACTTACATGGAGGTGAATAGCTCCTCGATATCATTGCGGGGACAGACCTTGTGGTACAGGGCATAGAACTTGTCAAAAGTAAACTGCTCCTTGGTCATCGTGGCGTTCTTGTCGTCTGGGAGACCAGCATCCTTGATGCACGTATACACCAGCTTCTCCGTTTTGCCAGAGGCAAAGGTTTTTGCCAGCGTTTTAACCGGAATTTTGCCACTCTTCTCCACGCAGTAACTCAATCTCATCCAACTATTTTTGGATTACATAATAATTAAGAGAGGTAGAGAGGCAGCGAGTCAGTAATAATTGCACATTTGTCTCGGAATGAAACTGAGTTGTTTTTTTTTTTTTTGGGGGTGTTTTGGAAAATGCAATTAAAATGAAAATAGCAAGAGCAAACTTTTGTTAGAACAATAGACAAGAAGATAGATATTAATTATACATACCTGGAAATGGTGAGGCAAATTCTGAGTCTGATTTAAACTTAACTTGATGTGGTTAAAGTGGTTAAGCAAGATGATTGGTTATTAAAATCATAAAAGAATGATGATGAGGTAAGCACTATTTTCACTTTTTAAATGCCACTTAAAACCGTAAGTAAAATCAAATTTAATATTTCCCATTAGGAAAAAACGAAAATTTTCGATTTAATTGCCTTTGAAACTATGCCAAAGGACCGCCCCTTTCATATTCCAAAAAAAAAAAAGACCAATTTTATTTTCCTTTAACGACTGTTTAGTGAACTAAGCTGACCCCCGGTAATCGAATCAAATATTGATTAGCAATCAAGTCCAGGCTATCCATTACGCAGATGATTAACGACCTGCTCCGAAAACGGAACTCATAACTAATTGAATCAAAAGAGAGAGAGAGCGCCTCATCTCTCGCACTTGTATCCAATTTGCATTGGATCCGTATCCGTGGGATATCACCCATCCCTTGTTGTGGTTAAAGTTTAGTTTCTATTTTCGGTTTCGGTTTCGGGTCAAGTAATTGCAGTTCCCGTATGCACCGAATGACGCATAAATAATGCAATCAGAAAACAAATTGCAAACTAGGACAACTAATTTACAATACAAACATGCAACTGCCTGTTCTACGCCATGCCACGCCCACTCACGTTCCTATAACCACCATTTCCGCCTACCATTTGGCCAAGGTGTTGGCTACGTCGATGGTTAACACGGTTGTTCGTGTAGAATGCACTTTGCAACTTTTTTTGCCAGCCACCCAGCAACCAAAAGGCACCACTAAAACATTTAGTCACTGAGAGAAAATTTTCTTTAAAGATTTTTTTTCTATTAGTTTGGGTTTCCTTTCTCTGCTAACCGTTTTCTTTGATATAAACCTCTTTTTGTCAGATAATTCTAGTCTTTGTATGGTATATTGGCTATAATTTCTGTGGGTTATCCATAGAATCCTCTAACTGCTATTTCCCAGTGAACCCTTTGCAGGTGTGTGATTCCGGATGCAACACACCCATTCCCCCTTAAGCACCCTCCTTTTGAGACCCCCTAAAAACACACTCGACTGGGCAGAGCAAGGAAGAGAGAGAGCGAGGGAGACAGAGCTCACCGCAAGGCAACGCATATCCAATGAACCGCAGTTCAGTTGCCGCCTTTCATCTGCCCCATGGACATCGACCATCGACCATCGACCAACGACCATTGAATGCATTCGTTTCACTTGTCTTTTAGAAGGGAATCGAGCAAACTTTGGGCGGTTTAACCCAATTTCGGATGACGAGGCTGGAATTTTCATTGCAGTGAACATTTCATTGAGAACTCACACTTAACAAATGAAAACGAGCAATAAAAATGATTGGAAAGAAACCCATCATTTTTGAATCAATACTAACACCAGTCATTATGGTACAATTTTCTATTTCCCTGATGGGATGCAACTTTTGTTAGTGCATGAAAATGGCTTTCGTTTTGCTTTTTGCTTTTTGCATTTTGATATTTATGTTAGGACACTCATAATTTCCTTATTTTACAAAAATGTGCTTCGCATAAAGTATGAAGCCCTTTGACCAGCCAACAAACAAACAAAACACCCACGCACCCACTCTTGGATATTTTCATGATGGAAGCCATGGTGGGAAAAAGAACAGCAGCAGCAGCTCCCCCCCTTGACTGACTGCTTCTCCTTACTTTTTGTTTTTCTTTTGCTTTGGCCATTTTGTGTGTGTGGGACAGGAAATGCAAATAAAATGAATTTATTTTGTGCTAAAAGTGAGACGAAGCCATGAAGCCGTCATGAAACATGGAAACAGTACAGAGAAAAATCAACAACTATGGTTATTGGGCGGAATAGAAAGTCGAGTCCCTTGGCCATGGATCAAATTGCAGTTGGGCTTCTGACCGACCGGAGTTTAGTATTCTTTGGTATTGCGTAATCAGCAATCAGGAAATTAATAACGACCGAACGCGAGTAATTGACCCGAAAAGACCGAAAAGTCAATGAAATTTTGCGGGAGGGAAACAAGTTTTACGGATGGAATTTCAATTTCCAATTAGTCAGTTTTCTGGCATTTTTCGGAAAGAACAGAGATGAAAGATCAACTTACTATTAAGGGTAGTTATTAATTAGTGCATTAAAGGATTCACAACTATACTTACCGTACCAGGTTCCAGGATTATATTCGTTCTAGTTAACTTTAAACTTTAAACAAGCTCTTCTCTACTTTTAACTTTGTTTAGAGCAACGTTTTAAAAAGAGTTTCTTCCGATTAAAGTTCGCTTTCTAGATTTGTGTCGAACAGGTTTCAGTGTGACCTTACTTACTGTTTCATCAGATTGACGCGCGGGCACACATTTGTGGCGCGATTGTTATGCGTGATGAGACGCAAGTTCTTTTGCCAGCTCTGGGCGCGAGAGTGAGACAGTTGTATGTATATACAAACAGAGACAGAGAAAGTAGATAATCGTAAAGGATAACAACAACAACAACAGCAACAGCAACAGTAACGAGAAGAAGAAGAAGAAGAAGGAAAAGAACAAGGAGAAGAAGAAAATGAACAGCATGCAGAACAGAGAGAACGGAACAATCGATGCAATTATGTACACAGTGTAATCGAGTGAGGTGCAGCAAGTGGAATTAATGTGGCAAGGCGAAAGGACATGGGACACAGAGGACAGAGGACAGAGGACACAGGACAATGGGAACAGCCGAGGCCGTGGCAAGAACATGGATAAAGACAGAGCAAATGCGATGGAGAAGTGAGGAAAGGGTAAGGGTACGGATAAGGTTATAGGTATGGTGTAAGGGGTAAGGGGTATGGTGAGTGATAAGTGGTAAGTGGTGAGGTAAGTAGTGAACACGCCCACTTACTGTTTCCGCAGACACATCATGGGGCAGATATTGTTCGCTTTGACATTATGAGTTATTTTTCGTATGCCATCTAGCCAGATCTAAAAGAAGAGAGGAGTCGATAGAGGGATTGTGGATTTCATGGATTTTTCGACGAATGATTGAGTTTGCTGTTTTGGGGGTATGTCTTTATCAAGGGGAATCTTCTAATACAGTACAGTGTGTCTTTAAAAAACAAAAAAAAAAAAGTATTCCAAATATTTGTCAAGTTATTTGTACCACACTACGTATACGTAATATTTGCAAGTAATGCTTAAAAATGTCTTTGGCTTATTTTTGAGAAGTTTTCTTCATTAAATTTCTTAAATAATTCATTAATTTCCGTTAACTTCTATTATAAGAAACCCTAAAAACTAAAATCCGTTCGAGGTTCTCCCTACAGAGATAGTTTTTGTTTGAGAAATGTGCAGGAAATGCAGGACTTTCCAGCGATAGGGAAATGTTAATTACTGATATCTGAGCCGGTGAATATCCCTGCTTCCAGCTGTCATTTCCGCTTCCTGTCTTTGCTTACAAGCTAATATATGAAATTTGACACTTACCTTGGCTGTTGCCGCATCTGGACAAATAACATGATGATATGTTATATTGATATAGTCCGTGTTCGAGCAGATCGTCAGGGATCGCTTATCCAGTTCCGGTATATTGGTTCCATTCTTCTTAGTCACCTTATCGAGTATCTTTGGATCCTGTTTGGATAAACAATTAAAAACAAATGATATTCATTAGTTAAGCTTCTGGATATTCAAACCGCTCCCCCACCGCCACTCGGACATCATTGCGTATACGCCCCATGGCCAAGCCATTTGACTGCAATTTAGCGCATCTCGGGCAGTGTATTCAGTATCTGAATCAGCATCGCGTAACATTAATCTCCACTTGGATCATTAATCAAGGCTTGCACAGAACATTTATCAACATTTGTGCAGCATTCGCGGAGCCAAATACATTTCCCATTCTATTTTCTTCCCTTTTTTTTTTTTTTGTTTTTTTGGCCGTCAGCAACAATTAAATGTTGTGTACTTTTCTCGACCTTCTCGTTCAGCTAGCTCTAGCTTGAATTTTTTGGCCAGCATTTCAATTTAATTGCTGGCCAGTCCAATGAAATGCAATTGCGCAACTTTCTGAGCGTGAAAAAGTATGCTACAGTTATTTTCCTTTTTGTTTCTCCCGAAAACGAGTCGCAAAATTTAATATAAAATTTTGCAATAACTTTGGCAAATTGAATTATTATCCAAGAGAAAATCGTTGAATAGTGAGCACAGTTCTTGTATTTAGTTGAAAGTTTCGTTAATGGACTTATCATTAAATACAAATTGGAAAAATGATTCTTCTATCTAAGAGGGGGAATATCTCCTAAACAGCTCCTCCACCATTCATCAGATTAGTTGAGAAGCTTTTTACTTAATATAGCACTTAAACTCCACTTTAAATTCCAACCTCAAACAGTTAATTTAACCAGCTTCCACAGCACTTAAAAAGTGCAATTGTATAAAGAGAAACCTGTTGTTTACCGCCTTAAATGATGTTTCAAAGTCTTCCACTTAAGCGGTGAATTTCTGAAAGGAAATTGAATTATGCAGAGACCCCCATTGAGGATTTTTCCTCACCTCCAAAACACACACACACACACACACACACTTATATATATATAACCAACACAGGCACAATAGCTCAATCAGTTCAAGTGCAATTTGTGAGGAAAGTCGTGGGGAAGAAAGCAGCAGACTTTCGAGTGCTAAATAAGTCAGCCTTCCACGACTTTATCCCCCTGTCGCTCCTTTGAACCAAATAAAGTGAAAGCAAATGTTATAAAAGTTTTGTTCCCTTATTCTTTCTTTCATATATATATATATATATATATATATTTTCTTCAGTTTTTTTTTTTGTGTGGCACTCGCTTTGTTACGTTTGCAGAGCTTCTCGTGCATTATTGAAAAGCGCCAGCAAACTAAAAGCCAGGAAAAGTCGGGGGCAATAACGAAAAAACTGCAACCATGCTCAAATTTTTCGTTTTCAATATTTCTTTTCGGTTGTGTGTGTTACCCTCCTTCTCTTTCTCCATTCTCTCTTTTTTTTACCCCCCTTTCGAGTTTTTCCTGCGGTTTTTCTCTGCCAAACGAAGCAACTTTTAATGGTTCATTGTGCAAGGCTTTTCGTTTTGAGCACTCTGTCTCCTTCCAGCCTCTGTCTGCCCGTCTCTATCGCGCCTTAAAGTCGCACACACTTGCCCCCCTTGGTCCCTGCTTCTTGCTTCTCCTGCCTTCTTATTTCCCCTCTCTTTCTTTCATTCATTCATTTGGCTGTGTGTGTCGCTCACTGATTTAATATTGATGACCAAACATTTCAAGTGATGGCAGAGCACTAAACGCACACAAACAAACACACACGCACATACGGAAAGCTATATATACATACGAGTATACTAACAGTAAGGTAAGGTAAGGTAATTTACAATACAATTACAATTTTCAATAATAAAACAAAGTTTTCGACCAGAGCTTGATCCACCATCCATCCTTTGATTTCTGTAGAAAGCAGAGCTAATTCAAAGACAGCAAATCTTAAATTTTGTTTAGTTTTGAAATAAAACAAATAAATATTTATCTTTCTTAACTTGCTTTTAGAAAAATCTTCTCAGTGTATAAAAAAACTCACAACATTTCCCTGTTTTTTCTGTTGAAAACGTTTTGCATTTTGCGTCTGCTGCTTTTACTCAGCTGGCGTTTTCCTTTTGCCCATCTCATTTGTGGTCAACAAATTTGGCACACACACACTTACTACCCCCCACAAACACACACACACTCAGACAGATAGACCGACACACACACGCATACTGATCATTATGCGAATTTCTTGCAACTTCTGCTCTTTGGTGTTTATTTTGCATTTTAATTGAATTTGCCCGAGGACATAGAGAAGAGCAGAATCAAAGAAACACACAAAAGATGTTTAAGGGTTTGAACTAGAAGTAACCCTTTGTTAAGCTCTGACAGAGAACTGGTCAAAAAGGTTTCCCCTGTTCAAGTTCTAAGCAAATAAATGCCAAACACTGTCAGAAAATATCAGAAACTTTTCCCTTTTAAGGAAGTCAAAATGGAAAAATCTGGAACATTGCGAACATAATTTCAATCTTTTTCTTTTACTACTTTTCATAATTCCCTGACAATGAAGGACTTTTCCCCTTTTTCCCCGCCACACTTTTCAGTTCCAATTTGTTTTTAATATTTTTTTCATTCAATTTTTGGTACTCCACTGGTAGGGACATAAGCCGCTACCAGGGCAACCTGTTCATTCGATTGAATGAAGCATTAGCGGCGTCCGCACCTGGTTGCCACTTAGTAGTAGTCCCTTTCCCTCTGTCCACTTCATCACTTTCCCTTGCCAACTTTTGCCCCTCCCTACTTTCCATTTCACATTTTCCCTTAGATGCACCTGTAACCCACATGCATAATAGTCAAAGGGTTTGCCTGGGGGCTAAAAATGCAAAAATGGAGAGCAAAAAGATTCGGTATAGAGGATTGGGTTGAGGAATTTTCAGAGCTACTTACTAGAGATCACAAGGAAAGAAAACCAAAAATATGTTTAAAAGTATATAAATAATATTTCTAAGTTTTAAATATCCTGAAATTGAGGAAACTTTAAGCCCTGAAACTAGATTCTTGTATAGAAAAACTTGCTGGAAAAAAATCCAAATGTGCATCACTGAGCGTATCCTCTGGCAGTGCAGCAGGATGTGGATGGAATGGGTGTGGGATATGGCCAGGCATTCCTATAGATATGGGCAATGGGCGATGAGCAATGGGCGTTGGGCGTTGGGCTTGCCCAGTTGCCAGTTGGATGCACTCATCCGAGCCACCGTTTCAGATTCAGTTTCACTTTCACTTCCCTTTGGCCCCTCTCTCATCCCCTTACCTTTACCTCTCGGAAAAGTGTGTCAAAGGAGGGCGGCAAGGAAAACCAGAGAGTGAAACTGGACAGCAAATCTAAATTAGTTCGAGGAGTATCTGGGCAGTACCTGCATTGCCCATAAATATATATAGTATATATATATAGAAGATTATATTATATATATTTATATATACTCCCGACAATATATATAGATAGATGAATTGGCCCAAATGGTAGTTCATTTCGGGCTGTTGCTGTTCGGTCATAAATTTCATTTAGGAGACGTCGTCAGACAAACACAAATACATCACTCTATCAGTCCACCTCCCACCTTATACATATATATACATATATATCTTATATAGTATATGTACCATATGTCGGGTTAGAAGGAATAAATAAAAGGGAGGCGTGGCCAGTCGGTGACAATAAATCTAGCGCATGGAACAAATGCGTTTCGAGTCGAAGACGGCGACTTTGATCCACAAATGGCGTTGGCTGAAAACAATTGAGAGCAAAAGTGACATATTGACACATTAACCGAGCCATGCAGACACACACACAAGCACACACTCATCTATACACATACACACACACTAATACACATTCTAGTAGGCGACAGTTTTATGGCTTTGTGATAGTTCATCCTGCCAGCGAGAAAAAAGAAAATAAAGGAAAGACCAACTGCACTTAGTCAAAAGTTGGCATGAAAAGCGGGGGAAATGACGGGTAAGCTAGAGGAAAATGTGGAAAAATAGGCAATGAAAATAAAGGGAGACAGGTGTCAGAGAATAAAAACAGAGAAAAAACAAATCAAAAATATCGAAAAACAGTATTTAAATTAAAGATTTTTGCTAAAAATTCCCCATTAAACTTATTAAATTTTAAAGCCATTCAGAGATTATTCAATTCCATATTTAATTTACTATTTAATTTATTTGAAAATAACCATTAAATGTGCTTTATTATTGTCAGTAAATCGACTAATTGAATGGCGTAATAAAATGGATTAAAATCTATTTTTCTAAGGCCAACATTTTACACAAAAATCTCCAATTTATTGCGATTTAAAATGGAATATGTGTGGGTGGGGAAAAAGAAAAATAATTCATTGGCAGGAAATTGATTTTTGGATAGGCTATCCCTCGCTCGGCGACTCCCACAAAAGCCTTTCAAATCTATTTCATTGCTAACAAATAAATTTCACAATTTTTAGGGCTTGAAATGCTTTTGTTTTTGGCCAACAATCATAGGGGAAAAAAACTTGATTTATGGCGATATTTTTAAATATTTAAACTAACACGAAGGGAAAAGAATTTTATTTCTGATATTTAGAAAGTTTTATGTAAAAAAGAGTCTCCACTCACCCTTGGTGTTCCTCCCGCACGAATGTCGCTCACTTGACACAGCTCAATGACATCGCCATCCTGCAGAAAGTAAATAAATTTCTTATTAGAAACTAAGCTAAACACTAAGTTAATGTTTATCTCTTTAAATTTAGAAATCTAACAAAAAGAAAGCTTAAAAATCATAAAATAAATGCCATTTAATGACTAACTTACCCGACCCTCGCTTTTCCAATAAAGGAAAAATCCATATTCATCGACCTTGAAAAGGGCATCGCGCTCAAAGTCATTCTCTTTGGTTTCCTTCTCGTTCTCAAACCACCGATCGAACACACAGCCCGTGGTCAATTCCGGTGGAACCGGAATGATCCAATCGAACTCGTACTTCTTGGTCATTATTGCTCACTGGATGATGCTATGTTAGCCACTTCCGTTTCCGTTTCCGTTTCCTTTAACGCTTCCGTTACTGTTTCCGTTTCCGTTGCCGTTGCCGCTGACGCTACCACTTCCTTTGCCCTGCACATGCGATATATATATATATATTTATATATATCTCAAATCCAGATCTAGATCTGTCTCTCAGCTTACTCTCTCCTTTCTTCCTTGGCTCAAAGGTTTCGGGACATATTATAATACTGGCACTAACTTATCGTTTGTCCTCCAAACGGACGTGTGTATGTGTGTGTGTGTGCTTGTGTTTGTGTTTTTTTTTTTATATACAATTGCATTTATTGTAGGATCACATGGTCCGTTTTCCGTTTCCGGTTTGTGTTTTAAATACTTGGCCTGGGCAAGACCAGCTGCACTTCTGCCAGGACCTCGAAACGGCGCGTTTCCTTTTATCCAAAAACAAACCTTCGACTCAGCTGCAAATGGAAAAACAGAGATTTTTAGACATTAGAAGTGACAGGCACAACGGGTTTCGGGTTCAAGTACTCCTGAAATAATAATTGTGCGGTTTGCCGCAAGCAAAATGAAGACATGGACATGGCTACACTGAAGGTAAACAGCGTAATGTCGATTAAGACTAAAAAACTTAACTAGTTTGAGGGGAATTTTTAAGGGAAAGAACTTTAGAAGCTTGTAGATTGGAGTTCTGATAAACTATTTGCAAAGGAGACTTGCTTTTTTTGATATTTATTTAGTTTTATATTCATTTTTTAACTTCCTCCAATCTTTTCTCAAAGTGCATTGTGAAAAAAAAGGGAAACCAGGAGCCGAACAGCTTGACTGGTCATTTTACAAAAGAAAATTCAAGAGAATGCATTTGTTTGGCCCCCAATGTCCATCAAGGCTTAGCTCTTAGTGCATCCTGTAATTTCGAATTTCGATTTGTGGCCAAATATCTACAAGAGAGATACAGAGAGAGAGTGTCTGTGCCAGCTCCTTCATTAATTATCCAAGAAATGCCATTTTCAACATCCAAAACTAAAGACAGCACTTAGGCTGCCCTTGAAAATGAAATGATTCCCCCCGTATTTCGATAAGCTTTTAATATCAAATGTCAATCTTAATGGCATAAACTGGTAGTAATTCTTTAAGCGATCAAGCAAAGGGAATGCCTTTCTTATACATTTTTTATAAATATTTAAATAATTTAAATTGCCATCCAGAATGTGGACAATCAACAGGAATGTATTCGCAAATCGCCTGGCAATTTGCAAACAATTTTCCTATAAATTTTAACGAGTTTCTCCCTTTAAGAGAGCAAACAAAAAAAGGAAAAACTTCCAAATTAAATTAGCATTCGAATGGAACTAATTTCGCACACACAAATCCGCTTGCCAATTTGCAATCTGCAGACACTTTATGAGCTTGACACAATTTTCAAAAAAAAAAAGCGAAACAAAAACAAAAATCCACTTTAAAGTTGAGCGAAAAAACTTTACCCGAGACTTGAGATTTATGCAAATTATCAAACAAGGACTAGGCAGGATCACAAGAATGTTATTAGAGACAGGCAAGTTTGTGATATTTACGGAACAGTTAGTTAGACACGAATCCGGCTGATAGCTGACAGACAACTAACTAAGAACTAACATCGAATCGTTGCAGCCGGAAGCCAAGAAACATTGAAAAACTAAGACTAATGGAATTAGCGAGTGACGACATTGCCAGGGCCATGGCCACAGGTTCTGTTTTTTTTTTCGCTGCGATTCGATTTTGCGGCACTTTGGGGACTTCCCGTCCATTCGCCATCTTAACATCATCAGCCAAAAGCCATCCCCTCTATAGTTACCCAAACCAGCACCCAACCCACGCCTCCCTCACCTTCTCACTATCCACTACCCACCCACACCACGACGAAAACCATGGCCATGGCCTCGTGCACCTGACTTTGATTCCAATTCGGGGACACAACTCAAGTGGCTGGCATTTTCACAGCTGCTTGTTGCTGTACTTTACATTGTTGGCTTTTCAATTTAGCTACACGTTAAGAAAAAACAAAAAAAAACACGTTCTAGTTTAGATTTTTACTACCTAGAATAACTATAAAATAGAAATTAAGTAGGTTTTGTTATGTTACTAACAAGTCACGTTTTAGTGCGCTGCCCTGCGAGGCTTTGTTGTTTTCTTTAGTTTTAGTTTTTAGTTTTTAAGATAAGACATTCCAAAACTGTAGCTAAAGTTAAGATAAGACTAAGATTAAGATAAGACATTCTTAAACTGTAGCTAAAGTTAACTTGTAACTGTCGTAGTTTCGCTTTTCTACTTAAAAACAGCAATGAAAAGAATTAATAGCATATCCCAAAAAGCAAAACATTTCTCTCTCTGTATCTTATAGCTCACCGTCTTGGCTCCCTTTTTTTTTATTTATTTTACTTTTTATTTATATGCATGTATATAGTCTGTGACAGACGCTCTTCACGGGTGTCGGAGTCCTTTGTGTGACATTTATATATATATATAAAGCTGACTGATTACTCGGTGCCCCGTGATTTCTTCCGCTTTCCATTCTGTTTTTTTTTTTTTATATTTCGACGGCGCTGTCGTGTTACACATGACTTCAAATTCAATGAGCTGCGAAATTTCGCTCATTGTTAAACTTGGAGAGCTCGTTAGCCAGACTCACACACAAACACACACACACTCACAAACAACCGCACAGCCAGGACTCTAAATAAAAGCGTTAAAAAAAAAAATAAGGGAAAAACTGAAAATACTTTCACGCCCGCTCCACGAATGTTTAATGAATTTACGCTCTTTGCGCTTTTGAACTTTCGGGCGGGCGAATTAGCAAAGAAAGGAAGCGCCAAGGACAAAGGATCAAAATGGAGGAAGGTGCTCGAGGACAAACAAGGATGCCACCGTCAATGTACTCCGCTTTAAGTGAGCTGCCATTAATAGTTAACTCTTAGCAATCAGCATTGTGAGCGGAAATTAAGTTATTTACATGTCAGACTTAGGTATTGGATATTTATTATTATTATATAATTATTATTCTTTTACTTCATTTCACCAAATGTGAATATTTGTCTATGAATTTAAACTGATTTCCATGGAAAAATATTTAGTATTTTGTTCATAACAAAAGAAATAATAGTCGGAATGTGGATTGCCAAACCTCGCTGAGTTCGTGATTAAATTTCCAAAAAAAAAAACTGAATTCACACCTAAAAATGTAAGATTTTTGCAGTTTTTTACAAAAAATGATGATGTTACCCCTTATCGAAAATGCGAAATTTGGTTTAAGCAGATTTCCACCCAAAAATGGGTAGTATTTTTCCCATTACTCAGCCAATAATGGTCCGAATATGGAATGTCATACCTCGATAAGCTCGGAATTTGATTTCCAACAAAACTGCATTCACACCTTGAAAAGTACAAATTTTGAAGTTTTTCGCCAATTTTGATGATGTTGATGATGAGATGACCCCTTACAAAAAAGTCATCATTTTTCCGAAAATTAAAATCCCAAATCTTCTAACGAATGATGAGGAAAGTTAGTTCTGGTCGTTAGCTTTGCAAAACAGTCTTCATCTTAGCTGTGCCTCTTGTTTTGGCTAAGTTATGGACATAAACCCGTTAGAAAAGATCGCTTCTTCTGTCAGAACTCGTAATCCTGATTTTTGCCCCAAAAACATTCAGAATTCTTCCCACAACAAAGTCAAACTTAGTCCGAGTATAGAATGTCATACATCGATGAACTCGTCATTAAAATTCCAACAAAACTGCATTCACAGTTTAAAATGTGAAATTTTAGCCATTTTTCGAAAAAAATGATGATGTTACCCCTTGCAAAAAAAGTGAAAATCGGCTCAAAAATTATTTTCCGAAAATCAGCCAAGCAGTGACATGGTTGGAAAGGTGAGGTCGTTAGCTGCTCAAATCAGTTAGTAATTTTCTTATAGGACAATTTTCAGTCAAGTTATGAGAAAAAAACATAAAGAAAATATCGTATTTTTGCCAAAATTCCTGATCTCATTTTTGATCAATAATATATTCCAAAAAAATAAGTTCGAAATTTGCAAAATTTTGAGATCCCTTTATTATGTTTCCACTAGAATGGCTCGAATAAATCGTAAATTTAATCGCGGCCATTAAAGTGCCGGGTGCCAGGTTATAAAGCCATACACTACAGCATCCCCTTCACTCGCTCAAACCACTCGAACACAACACTTTTCGCGAAATCGAAGCACTTGAATTCATCTTTCACCGGCGACCATTAAATGCAGATACCAAAAGGGAAAACTTGAGCATGGCAAAGAGTGGAGAGAAAGGAAAATAAGTGGGTGTTGCGAGGAGGGGGGGGGGCTAAAGGAAAGAACAACACGAAGGGAAATCAAATCGTCCTTCTATGCAGAGAGAACGAGAAAGAGCACCTCTAGTTTTCCCTTCCAGAAGTTTTGTGTGTGAAGGAGTGTATGACAACGGTCCTTTTGCTTTCTTTTTTTTCCTGCTGGTTTTATTTTATTTTATTATTTTTTGTTTTTTTTTTTTTTGTGCCAAGTGCCACGCCTTCAACACCTGCGCGTCCCCATCCCAGGATTCGAGTGGAAATTCGGCTCACAGTTCGAAGGTTCTCGTGGGTTGAAAAGAGGTTCCCATATCCCGTGTCTCGTGTCCCCTTTCCCGTTTCCCGTTTCCCGTTTCTCGACTTTCCGGGTTACAGAGTAAAAATAACTTGCATAAACTTTCCCTCAAAGGACACACACGTACGCCGAGAAGTGTGCTACAAATATGCTCATTACGTGCGCGCCAAGTGGCAGCCTCAACCCCAAAGGACAAACCAGCCAACCTACCACGACCCCCCTCCAACGCTCTACCACCCACTACTTATACACCAGTGCCCCCCCCTCTCTCGTGCCCTGCCCTACCATCGTCCTTTTTTCCAGCGACAATTGCTCAATTTATTATTGCATACTTTGCGGCCATAAAACTTGGCTGGCATCCTTTGCCATCCTTTCGCGGCTTCTGTTGCATGTACTTATAGATAGATCTATGGGGAATACATATAGCTATACTGTACTATATACCTATATATATATATATATAGATTTATCACATATGTATATGCAACGTTGGGCTACAGGTGTGTGGTTGTAAGTGCCATAACTATAGGCAATTTAGAGGCATTTATGGTTTTGATAGCTTTTTGGACTTTTTGCAAATTTAAGAACTGTCTTGCAAAAGTTGAAGTAAGATAGACTAGATTTTAAAGGTGAGTATGAGAGCTTTTAGTAGTAGTAGTAGTGGCCCACGGAAGATTTGCGTTTTTAAATCGCTATAAAAATTTGAATATTTCCCTGTTTCCTTCGAGCGAAGACTTAACCATTTCCTAAACTACAAACCTTCTACTAAATATCTGACATATTGACAATGACAAAAAGCAAATGCTACATGGGCCACCCTGTACTATTAATTG